TTAAGTCTTTCGTTTGCTAAATCTTGAGTTTTAAACTAATTTTTGAATAAAAACACAACAAGTTGTTCATAGACATTAAAGTTAATTGTGTTATAACCTAACCCTAAGATTTGATCCGTCACTAAACATAATTAGAATGGTTATCTAAAACTATGTTAATTCAACAATATGCCATAAACATAATTTTTTTAAACACATAAGGATATTTGATCAAACAAACAGGATTAACTACCAAAATAACCAAATCATAGAAACCAAACTGTAACATCATGGTTCATCTACGCTAAGTTAAACTAAATGGATTTTAGATCATAACTTGAAGTAACAAATAAAAGGAAAATATAATATATACGCTAATCATAATCGATAAACCAGACCGAATGAAAACCAAATGATTCTATTCTTGATTCTTCAAATCATTTCTCTAGCCTTAAAATCTCCTTTTGACGGCTTCTGGTCGTTTAAAAGTGCCTAGGAACGACTGCTCTACTTTTCAGGTCAAAGATAAGACTATTTATAGTTTTCTTAATCGACCTAAAACACGTCGTGTATGGCATATGGATGCGTCACGTTTTCAAAATTCTACCGTGAACTCAAAGTCCTCAACACGTTGCATGATCCTTCCGGGCGCGTTGTGTTCTCCACTGTTCTACATTGCTTTTTTTTTTTTTTCGTAACGTCTTCTAACTACAAAAGTGAATTTCAAGCTTATCTGTAACACTAATAACAACACCTAGATATAACATCATATGTATATATATATATATATATATATATATATATATATTATATATATATATATATATCATCAATGACGCTCCTTCTAGAGGGAGGGACGAACAACGAGTCATCAAATCAATCATGTGTCAAATCATTTGTGAAACTTGTCATTAAAGATGTTTAATAATGTAATAATGCAAGTAGTTGTGTCATAATATGAGTAGATATGTGATAGTATATTAGTAGTAGAGGAGTTTTCGACCATAATAGGGTGAATGGAAAAAATATTTACCATTTTAGTGTTCTTTTAAAACTATTTACCATTTTAGTGTTTTTCTTCTTTTTCTTTATTTTTTAGTTTCCTTTTCAGTTTTTTTTTTTTAAATTTAAATATCTTATTTTTCTGTTTTTCTTTTTTATTCCACTTTTTATTGTTTTTCTCATTTTTCTTTACTTTTTAGTTTCTTTTCAGTTTTTTTTTTTAAATTTAAATATCTTATTTATTTTTCTTTTTTATTCCACCTTTATATATATATATATATATATATATATATATATATATATATATATATATATATATATATATATATATATATATAAATGATAACTTTCATTTTAGTTTTTTTTTTATCCTTTTTTACTGTTTTTTAAATATATGTTTTTTTTATTTAATTTTTTCTGTTTTATTTAAATATCCGATTTTCTTATACAACCTTTTTACCATCAAATTTTAGCCTCAACATTAAAAAATCATCAAAAACCACCACTATAATCAAATTTTAAGATGCAAAAATTCCAACATTCACATACAATGTTTTTAAAGTGAAAAAAAAAATCTCAACATTGTTCTTACAAAAAACATTGTAGGTGAATGTCACCACAAAAAAATCCAACATTGTTTATTACAAAAAGAAAAACATCACAATTAGCTTTATATTGAACCGGTAAAAAATCATTACCTGTAAAAAATATATATATTATTTTTTAAATTACCTTGACATAGACGGACATCTATTAAGTGGATGACTCTCCAACCATTCTCGAGCACGTGGATTTAACGGGACATAATCGAAAACGATGTCCGTCTATACCAAGGTAATTTAAAAAAATAATATTTTTATGGTATTTGTTATAGTTATTCTCTTGTTATTATTATTTTTTTTACAAGTAATAATTTTTTACCGGTTCAAGATGAAGCTAATTGTGATGTTTTTCTTTTTGTAATAAACAATGTTGGGGTTTTTTTTGTGATGTTTTTTTTGTAAGGAACAATGTTGAGATTTTTTTCACTTTAAAAACATTGTATGTGAATGTTGGAATTTTTGCACCTTAAAATTTGATTATAGTGGTGGTTTTTTATGATTTTTTAATGTTAAGGCTAAAATTTGATAGTAAAAAGGTTGTATAAGAAAATAAGATATTTAAATAATACAGAAAAAAACAAATAAAGAAAACATATATTTAAAAAAACAGTAAAAAAAGGATAAAAAAACTAAAATGAAAGTTGTCATATATATATATATATATATATATATATATATATATATATATATATATATAATAAAAATGTGGAATAAAAAAGAAAAAAAAAAGATATTTAAATTAAAAAAATAGCTGAAAAGAAACTAAAAAGTAAAGAAAATGAGAAAAACAATAAAAAGGAGGAATAAAAAAGGAAAAAAGAAAAATAAGATATTTAAATTAAAAAAAAAACTGAAAAGGAAACTAAAAAATAAAAGAAAAAGGAGAAAATCACTAAAATGGTAAATAGTTTTGAAAGAACACTAAAATGGTAAATATTTTTTCCACCCGCCCTATTATGGTCAAAAACTCAGTAGTAGAGTTTGTCTAATGATTATGCATTTGTTTAGTAAGTAGTCAGGTTAATAATGCAAAAATACAATATATAGTTTGCCGCATGGTGATTTGCAATGTCTTTATAATCCCTGATCCGTAGAAATAAAACATCCCAATTTTATGAGCTAATAAGACTTTTTCTGTAATATGTATGTTGAAGTTTTTATCTTACAAAAAGGTCCTTGCTTAATGTTTGGGCATGATGTTCGCGTATGAGTATTTTTTGGCGCATCAGATTGTGAATCATAAGAGCGTGGGATGATCACTAGCGGTTTTCAGCCTGATCCAATGTATCTACCCTTAATGCATGTATTCCACATAGCTAGACATATGCCCTCCTCTTCATTCTTCCGACTTTCCCAATAGGCTCTTCAAAACACCCGACACAATCCCACAAACTACATTGTATAATGTGGTTTTAAGATTTTCCAAACCGTAAATCTCACCGCGAAGGTTCTTAATCGCGTTATGCAGTGCGGTGCAATGTGGTTTTTTGTACCTTATGACATAAAACATTATTAACTTTAGAAACCTAACTTATTTCGATAAATAATTTACGCACCAATATACAATAATGAAAATGTCTTCATTAAATTTAGATTTTCGTCTATCAACCCAATACTTCTAACTTCCATGCTTATTATGACCGATATAACAATTGAAAACTTGAAAATAAAAAACATGAAACTCGTAGATACTTGTCTTTTTTTTTTTTTCTCAGAACATTTTGAATATCTATAATCGGAGGTACGAGAAGTCGAGGACTAAGATATGATTAAAATACTCCGAGATAATCAATCTGTCCAACGATATTTATTTGCTTTTATTTGTCCGTTTTGTTTTGGAATTATTTCTTCGCCTAACATGTAATGGCTAGGGAATAATGAATGTATATTGTCTTTAGTATGCCTTGTGCTATGATTTAAACCACAATTTATTAGTTAAAAAGCATAAAAACACTATATAATACGGTTTAACAAAATTACAAACCGAACAATTTCTAAAAGACCACTTAGGTTGTGGTGACTTGGTAAGACATATAGAAGATGTTGTGGGTAATCCATTGACTCATGTTTAAATCCGATATTATTCTGTGACCATAAATGTTCGTTTGCAATGACTCCAAGACACGAGTCATAAGCTTATATAGGGATGTCAACGAAGGCAAACGGAACAGAGAGTGCATCCCCCGCCCCCGCCCCCGCCCCCGAAATTTCTCCGTTCTCTCGCCCTCAAAATGTTTACCAGGAGATTAGGTGGTGCACAGAACCAGTCCAAAAATCTTTTCCTTCAAAAAAATTTCTAAACCGTGTTTCGTGACCCTTAAAAAAAATAACGTAAATTATAATATTATTGGTAATATTGGGTCAAGTGGACTGTGAGGCCAGCAAAACAACCCTCGTGTCTCTTCTCGCTGCCCCATGTGATATTTTTTTTTTTTTTTTTTTTTTGCTTCCATCACCAGCTCCTCATTTTCTTTTCTTCTTCTCCTTCTTCTTCTTGTTTACGATATAAAATTTTCAATACAAGTATACAACCAACGCAAGAAAAGAAACACTCCAAATTCCACCGCTTCTACAACTAGCAGAAACATACGGACAAACACAGACGAGGAAGCACGAATTCCAACACAAAAAGGTAATCATTGTCTTCAGATTCCAACCTCCACTCTCTACCTTTCTCTTAATTTTAACCAGATCATACGCAGATTTGGTAATCCAACGTAATTCGAATCTCATTCCTGTTTTGCATTTAATATTCCAGATTATAATTCGGTATCATTTCCTGATCTGTTTTTTGTGTTTTTTGCATCACAACTTGGTTCGCTATGCTCTGTGTTTTAGCCCTTAAGCTTGCGATCACTGTAAATTAGGTCTTCTCTCGTCATATTAAAATTGGACAGAAAAACATCACATTTCGCATGTTGATCTTGTTAGATTTGGTGCAGTTATCTTGTTCTGATAATTTCGTTCAATTTCGTTTCATCATGGAATGAGGATTTCTACTTCAATTCGGTTAAAAACCGATATTAATTTGGGTATATGTGAAGGATTGGTAATTCATTTGTTTTATATGACTTCGTGAATGGTTACGTTTTTTAGATTAGAGTTTATTTTAACCTAATTAATCAGAAAATCAAAATCTTAATCCGTGCCAATTGCCTAACAAGCTTTAACATGCAATAATCATTTTAGACGCACATCCAAGCACCTCTCATTTGCTCTAACACTTCTTCTTCTTCTATCAAACACCACCCATGGTTGAAAACAAAATCTCTGTGATGAATATGACAAATTCAGTAGTTTCTTCCATATTCTTCTCAAAAATTGGGTTCCTCATTTGTTTTGCAGGGTTTGTGTCTTCTTCTACATCATCAAAGAGGGCTGTAGAGCCCCCTTGGGAACCAAAGCTTTGGATCAACAATGGAATACCAGGCAAACTACTCCATCTGGGATGGGCTATACTACCACCCACATCTATTTGGTGGCATAATGTTAACAGCTGCATTGCTTGGTCTTTCCACAAGTTATCTAAGTGGTATAGCTTGTTTCCCTACTATTCCATACATGTTACCTTATTTAGGAAATCTCCAGAAGCAAAAATCCGGAAAGAAACGTATCCGTGTTTACATGGATGGGTGTTTTGATCTTATGCATTATGGTCATGCAAATGCTTTAAGACAAGCCAAAGCTTTAGGAGATGAATTAGTGGTTGGAGTCGTAAGTGATGAAGAAATCATAAAGAACAAAGGTCCTCCTGTTTTATCCATGGAAGAGAGGTATGCTTAATGCTTTTATTCTCTCTCTCATCAATACATACAAATCTTATGTTTCACATGATATGGTGTTTGATCCCTTAAAGGTTGGCACTTGTTAGCGGATTGAAGTGGGTTGATGAGGTTATTGCTAATGCACCTTATGCTATTACTGAAGACTTTATGAACAGTCTTTTTAAGGAGCATAAGATTGATTATATCATACATGGAGATGATCCTTGTTTGCTTCCTGATGGAAGTGATGCATATGCTTTAGCAAAGAACGTTGGGCGTTACAAACAGATCAAAAGAACAGAAGGTGTTTCAAGCACAGACATTGTAGGTACTACCTTCTAACTGAAAACATCTAAATACAAGAAAATCAAGAAAATCAAGAAATGGCATGATCTTCATTCTTTTTGGATTCGTTTTGTGCTTTTTAACATCTTTACTTACATAATGCAGGAAGGATTCTTGCATCAATGGAAGATAAAGAAGTTAATGGAGAAAGTAATGAAATGAGTAGAAGAAGCATCGAGAGTCATTCCAAATCCAAACATGCATCTAACTTTTTGCCTACATCAAGAAGAATTGTGCAATTTTCAAATGGCAAAGTATGTTTCCTAAATCAACTTTCTGCTTATTGTTTATTACAGGTCAAAAGACGTAAACGCCCTTCTCATCTTTAAAATGTTGTTATTATCTATTCAGGGGCCTGGACCGAATGCTCGTGTTGTGTACATTGATGGAGCATTTGATCTTTTTCATGCTGGCCATGTTGAGGTATGCAATGCAGCCTCTTGTTTATGATTATGAATGATTTTTTTGCCTTTGATAATAAATTAATAATTAATAATTACAAATAAATTGTCAGATTCTGAAGAGTGCAAGACAGCTTGGAGATTTTCTATTAGTAGGCATATATACAGATGAAACTGTTGGGTAATATTCAAAACCATTATTAAGTTCTGTTTGGATAAATCGATGTTTAAAAACTATTTGAAGGTTTGAGTGTGGGTAAATGACCATTTTACCCTTCTGTTTGTGATATCTGATTTGATGCAGCCAACAACGAGGGGCTCATTTCCCATTAATGCATCTGCATGAACGCAGTCTCAGTGTTTTGGCTTGTCGATATGTTGATGAAGTCATCATTGGTGCTCCTTGGGAAATCACAAAAGACATGGTATTTACATTTAGTTCCCCTTTTTTTTTTTTTTGGATATAAAATAAATATATTAAAACTATTTATTTTTCTCTAAATGTTGGCTTTTTATTTTATTTTATTTTGTGCAGATTGCGACTTTTAACATCTCTACGGTTGTGCATGGAACTGTTTCTGAAAGCGAATCTACTCTCAATGTAAGATGAAGATGAAGATGAACTCCTTTTAACAAACAAACACAAAAAGACTAATCTACCCTTGTGTTGATTATTACCACAGGGGATGGTGGACCCTTATTCGGTTCCCAAAAGCATGGGCATTTTCAGGATTCTGGAAAGCCCAAAAAACATCACAACTACTTCGGTAGCTCAAAGAATAAAAGCTAATCATGAGATATACGAGGTTTGACTTTTGTTTTATGTTTTATGTTTTATGTTTTATATGAATTTAAAATGGATGATTGGAAGTTTTGGACTGAAGTAGCGTGTGATTTTTTAGAAGCGAAATGAAAAGAAGGAAGCTAGTGAGAAGAAATTTTATGAAGAGAGGAAGTATATTTCTGGGGATTAATTGATTATATATTATGGATTGAAGATGAAGAAGATAAAAAAGATAATATATGATGCTAAAAGTTGTAACACAACTCCTTGAGAGATTTTAGAAACTAAGATGATGCTAACCCCTCGGATGTGTCATGTGGCATGTATCATGTATCATGTATCATCCTGATGTTTGCGAACTATGAGCACATATCTAATGAAGTTTCTTGTTTTTGTTTTTTGTAAAGTGATGATGATCATGCACCTCATTTTTTTAGTATTCAAATATATATATATATATATATATATATATATATATATATATATATATATATATATATATATATATATATATATATATATATATATATATATATATATATATATTAGGGAATTAAAAACTATGATTTTATGATTAGCAACATATGTTTTCAAGTGAAGCATATCCAAGAATGAAAACCCAAAAAGTAAATACTAAATGGAATCTTAAAATGATAATATATACAAAATCTTAGCTGAAGGTAATCATGTTCATCCATATCATCAAGATCATGAATGGAAAACTTGTCCTAGTGAACCAAGTAAGATTAGAAAATTCAATTTTACCATTTACATGTTGTCTTCTAGGGTATTTAAATCCCCACCATCGAAAATGTTTATCCCTGATTTAAGGATTCTCTTATAAGAATAACATAAATCAAGTACCTTAAAAAAGGGATTTAAAATAAATAAGAACTAATATGTATCATATGTTGTTTCGATATCAATCTTAAGTATATTAGCATCCATCACACCATTACTGAAACTCGAAAGGATCGGTTGAATTCTACGTTTTTCAATTGGTAAAGTGATATGATAAAACGATCAGATAAATATGTAAATAATAGCAGTCGCCCTAGCTTAAAAAGGGATTTAAAATAAATAAAGAACTAATATGTAACATATGTCGTTTCGATGTCAATCTTAAGTATATTAGCATCCATCACACCATTACTGAAATTCGAAAGGATCGGTTGAATTCTACGTTTTTCAATTGGTAAAGTGATATGATAAAACGATCGGACAAATATGTAAATAATAGCAGTTGCCCTAGCTTAAAAAGGGATTTAAAATAAATAAAGAACTAATATGTAACATATGTTGTTTTGATGTCAATTTTAAGTATATTTGCATCCATCACACTATTACTGAAACTCGAAAAGACCGGTTGAATTCTACGGTTTTCAATTGGTAAAGTGATATGATAAAGCGATCAGATAAATATGTAAATAATATCAGTCGCCGATGAAGAGTCCAAAGCTTTGGTAAAATAAATTTGTCAGCTATATGATTAAAAACATCTTTTTTTTTTTTTTTTTTCCTGAACGGCATTAAAAACATCTTTTTATAAAACATTAATAAAATTTCAATCTAAATTACAAATTTAGCCAAATTGATTATAGTGTTTTTAAATAAAGCCACAGGTCCGTATGTTTTATATAAAAAGGTTAAGCAATTTACTCGAACAATTAAGTAAATAGTTTTGTTTTATAAAATTTGTATCTAAACCGTCTTTTTTAAATTAGATAGAACTAATTTTATTGAATTAATTTGCTTATTATTTTTAAATATATCATTTATTTATTATTAATTTAAGTACGCTTAGTCACATATCATTATAGATTTATAGCCTTTTTACTAACCCATTGATCTACACAAATAAGAAATAAGAGTAATTAGTTAAATGTTTTTTTTTTTTTTTTTTTTTTTTTTTTTTTTTTTTTTTGGAGAAAATAACAAAAATAGCCATTTACACTAATTACATTACAAAAATAGCCAAAAAATATCGAAATTACAAAAATAGCCAACGATTTCGCAGATGGAAATGCCCCATCTGCGAAATCAGCATGCCATCTGCGAAAGTACAAGCAGCTAAAGCACAACTGTGCTTTAGCTGCTTGTACTTTCGCAGATAGTTTTTTTTAATTTTAATTTTTTTGTGTATATATAGGGGTAATTTCGTAGATGGAGAAGGTCCATCTGCGAAATACTCTCACTCCTATCTGCGAAATACTGATTTTTTTGTATTTTTTTTAGTTTGACTATGAAATGAATTGGTTTGACTACGAAATCATGTTGCTATATAAAAAGTTTTGTAGAAAAATATCATGTTGCTACATGATTTCATAGTCAAACCAATTCATTTCATAGTCAAACTAAAAAAAAAAATACAAAAAAAAATAAGTATTTCGCAGATAGGAGTGAGAGTATTTCGCAGATGGACCTTCTCCATCTGCGAAATTACCCCTATATATACACAAAAAAATTAAAAAAAAAAAATCACCTGCGAATGTACAAGCACCTAAAGCACAGCTGTGCTTTAGCTGCTTGTACTTTCGCAGATGACATGCTGATTTCGCAAATGAGGCATTTCCATCTGCGAAATCGTTGGCTATTTTTGTAATTTCGATATTTTTTGGCTATTTTTGTAATGTCATTAGTGTAAATGACTATTTTTGTTATTTTCTTTTTTTTTGTTATAAAGTATAATTAATTATTTATATCAGTCTATGGTTTTTTTAGGAATCTAATTAAAATAATTTAGTAATATGAATTATCGTTTAGATATGAATTTGATTTTTTAAGTATTTAAAGACCCTAATATTATATAGTGGGTTAAAAGAAGAAAATAGAATAAATGACTGAAATAAAAACGTGAGAGGTGTCCTAAACTTTATTTATTTATTTATTTTTATTTTTATTATTTTTTTAGAACGCGTTGGCTGAAGAGAAAGGGAGAGAGAGAGAGAGAGTCGTTAACATACAGATCCGGTGGAGTTGGGAGATGCAGAGCACCTGCAACAGAGATTGCAGTCTCGCTGGCCCGATTTGCATTTCGGCGTAAGTCTGATCGCAGAAACAGAAATCGCTTGCCGGAGGTCTTTGTTTGGAGTTGAGCACTCCGATCTCCACCGCTACTATATATATTTTGGTGAAAATCCGGCGGACGTGAGCACTCCTCCTTCCGGCGCTGGCTGAATATTTCCGGTGAGCAATTTTCTTTTCTGGCAGCGTGATAATTTTTATTCTAGGATTTTGTATGTTCTCAAGGATTAAAATAATAGATTGGATTTCGAACAGTCTTATTGTTTCTGATGAAGAATTTACTTTCCTAATTTTATATAAATATGTTTCTGGAATCTGTTAAGTACTTAATTACTTTCATAATCTGTTAGGAACTAATCAAGTTTTAAAAATCTAATCTTTAACGTGTTTCTTCTTTCAATTTAACATGAGTGGCTAATGGGAAGAGATATATGATTTTTGAAATAAGGTATGTTGTAGTAATCATTTATAAGGGTCTTGTGAGAAATGTTCCTCCAGTTGATGATGAATTGTTAGTGAGCATGTTGAACATTTCTTCTTTGTCAATCACCCTGATCATTATCTTTTACATCAGGCGCGTTTTTTTTTTTGGAACTTATTTCCTTCCATCTGTCTTATTTGGCTAATCTGGATACATAATTTTGGAGTTTTAGGTAGTGTATAGCATTGTACTTTCATAATATACTCATGATAGTATTCTACAAAAAAATATATTTAATGAGCCATGAAGTCACTATAATGGTAATAATAACCTTGGATCACATGAGAATTGAACTCAACTTTATCAAATTTTGAAAACTGTTTGACCCAAAAATTTTTCTTAACTTATTTCTTAAAAACTGGAAAATGTTTACTACAATCAACCAAGTAGAATCCACCTGTCACAAGGCACTGTTCCCCTGTTTCAACATTTATCTTTTCTCTTAAGTTTCCTTTATTTATGCTTTTGAGTTGAATATATAAAAATCAGAGCACCGAATCACATTAGCAACATCTTTATGATCAACAAAGTACACTAAGTATCTCCTAAACTGGCCAAGGATCCAATATAGAAATAGACAAAATCATCTTTCATCACACAAAACACTTTAAACCATCACAAGTTCACAACACAAACACAATTCTTCCATAAAGTGCACATTCAAGTTGAAAACTCAACCTTAAAGAGGGATGTAGATAGAACATGTTCAACTGTGTCTAATCTGGAAATGGAAAAGAAACTTCATTACAACACAAGCACGTATATGGCTACAAGTTCAGATAAGTATTAAAACAGATGCTATAAATAGAGTGCAGAAAAATCACATACACAGATTCTAAAAAACAGAGTGCAGATAAATCATATAAAGTTAAAAAACCCAAAGACCAAAGTAGGATTCTATAAAAACAGGGTGATGAAAGCCTGCAACATCATAAAATCCAAAGTAGGATATTTGTTCTTCTTTCTTATTATAATTTGGGTAGTAGCTGACATTTGATTTCACCAAAGGATTTGTGAGAATTGATTTAAGTTGTCGAATGCAAGGTTGTGTGTTTTTTTTATGAAGGTTTTTGTGTGATTATTAGGGAAATGGTGTTGTCAAGGTTTAGTTTGAATTAAAATATGGAGAAGAAAAGAGCAGATGAAAGCGTGCAAGTATCAGCTCCAGGAAGATTAGATAGATTCGGGTTTGTAAAACAGGAACATAACTCTCCCTCCCCTGATGGCCCCCCCAAAAACAAGTCGGCTTTGGAGTATCAGAGGTAACAAATATTAATCTTAGATTCCATCTTGGGCTATGTTTGACATACTAGCTGAAAAACTATCTGTTAGCTGAAATTAAAGCTAGCTGATAAAAAAAACATGATATTTTGTAAAAAGTTACTGGAAGATATAAAATGACATTTAGAAGAATATGTTTTTTATAATTAACTCAAGGTATATTTGGGAAATTTTAAAAAAGAATCTAAAAAGCTAGTCTAAGGTTGTGTTTGGTGCGCCATAGCTGATAAGTTAGCTGATTTTTTGAGTTTTTTTAAATTGTCATGTTTGGCAAGTCAAAAAGTAGCTTATAAGCTAGTTTTTTTAAGAAACTACTTAGACTAGCTTTTAATGAGCTTTTTAAAATTTTACAAATATACCCTTAAGTATTTATAAAACACATTCTTTTAAATGCCTATTTATGCCATTTTATATTTTTCAACTAGCTTATCAGCTAGTTTGACCAAACGTCATTTTTTATCAACTAGCTTTTCAGCTAATTCGCCAAACATAACCTAAGCAACTTTTTAAAAAGCTACTTTTTGGCTTACTAAACATGTCAACTTAAAAAAACTCGAAAAATAAGCTAGCTGTGGCGCGCCAAACACAACCTTGATCTTGTTCATATAAAAATGAAATTGTTCAATGATCAGGTAGTTTGTTGTATGGAAAATATGAATAAAAAAAAATCCATTGCAACACATGCTACGTTTAAAACTCATAGATAGATACAAATTAATTTAAAACAGGGAACAAAAACGAGTTAGAAAATGGAGGAAAATGATTGGTGTTGGAGGTAGTGATTGGAAGCATTATGTAAGAAGGAAACCACACGTTGTTAAAAGACGTATACGAAAAGGAATCCCTGATTGTTTGAGGGGTCTTGTCTGGCAATTGATCTCTGGAAGCCGGGACCTCTTGCTCATGAACCCTGGTGTATACGAAGTATTCTATTCCTTTAATTTTCCCAAATCTTCTTCTATTTGTCATTCTTTTAACTTAAAGTCTTATTTTCTTCTTCTTCTTCTTAAGCAACTAGTGATATATGAGACATCAGCTTCCGAGTTAGATATAATACGCGATATATCGCGTACTTTTCCATCACATGTGTTCTACCAACAACGACATGGACCTGGTCAACGATCACTTTACAATGTCTTAAAGGCCTACTCTGTGTACGACAGAGAGGTCGGATATGTACAGGTGATTCACAAATTCACATTACATCTCTAGCCATTTTTGACAAGACTCACAAAATGGTTTAAAATTTTCATTAAGGGAATGGGATATTTAGCTGGGCTTTTGCTGCTTTACATGAGTGAAGAAGATGCATTTTGGCTAGTGGTGGCATTACTCAAAGGAGCTGTTCATGCTCCAATGGAAGGATTATATTTGGTAACTTCACTTCCTCTTTACTAAATTTTATTAATAAATAAATAATAATTAGGGGTTGTTTGATATGCCTCTTACTAGGATCTGGTAAGAGGCTCAATCAGGCATTGACTCAATCAGATCTGACTCAATCTGCAACTGTATGGTATTCTTAATTATTGGTCTACATGCAGGAGGGATTGCCACTGGTTCAACAATATTTATTTCAGTTTGACCGTTTGATGAGGGAGTATATGCCAAAATTAGGCGAACATTTTACAGAAGAAATGATAAATCCAAGCATGTATGGAAGCCAGTGGTTTATTACTGTTTTCTCATATTCTTTCCCTTTTCATCTGGCTCTTCGAATTTGGGATGTTTTTCTTTACGAGGTCAGTGTCAGTGTCAGTGACATTTATTTAATTTTCTTTCGAAAAAGGAAATATAATATGAAGTAACTAGCTTTTGTGTGTTCAGGGTGTTAAGATTGTTTTCAAAGTTGGATTAGCTCTACTCAAATATTGCCATGATGACTTGGTGAGTGGCTTGTTACAGTTTGGAAAATAATATCTTTTTTATTTTTACTAAAATGGTGTTGTTTTTTTAGGTGGAATTACCGTTTGAGAAACTTATACATGCTCTTCGTAACTTCCCTGATGATGCAATGGATCCAGATACATTGCTTCCATTGGCCTACTCATTTAAGGTACTTATACAAATTTAAAAAAAATAAAATTTAAACGAAGAATTTATAATTTTTATAAATTTGTGATGTTTTAAGGTATCGAAGCGTTTGGAGGAACTTAAACAGGAGTATGAGAAGATACATGGGAAGGTAGCAGAATCTAAGTCAAAGCAAAAACAACTGCAGCTGGGTTGAGCAGCTAAAACAACTGCATATTATTTTGTAAATATCTGGAATTTGATTTGATTATTGATCTAAACCAGTTTTTTGTAACTGGAGATTAGAATCTTGAAATGGTGATAGTGTAGTGTGAGAAATGTTTAGATTTTGAGTGGTTTTGTTCATGTTTGAAATGTTGATAGTGCAGTGTGAGAAATGGTTTGGGAGAGAAAAGAAAGGATTAAAATCTACTATGGAAATTAACGAAAAATGAGCTCAAAAAGTCAGTCTAACAAGTAATGCAAGCTTTATACAACCACTGGTCTTCTCATATTTATTTTGTGGGTGGAAATAATATTAAACTCTTTTATTTTTTGCTCCATATCTTTTCATTTGATAGCAATTTGATGTGTTGAACCCATCTTTCCTAACCCACTTGACTAATCACTATTATTATTAATTATATTAGAAAATTTAAAATAAAATAAAACATACGATTTACAATAAAATAAAACATAAATTAAATCCTAAAATAACAATTAAAATGAAAAGAAACACTACAAATGACAAATAAAAGAAATACTTAAATTCTAAAAAATACTTAAATTCTAAAAAAGAAGGGTGATTTTTTAAAATATTTCACGCTAACTCGTAATGAAAATCTTTTATGTTATTGTAAAGTCCTAAATTTTAAGCCAAAGTTTCATTTTTAAAATTAAACCAATATTCCAATCCCATTCATAACATATGTTTTTAGTTTGATAAACCATATACAGATAAGAGTATCAAAAGATGATAAAAATCAAAAATGCTGAATTTCCATAAATATAAATATCAGTAGATACAATGCAATCAAAGCGCTCCCCTCCCAGAACAACCTGAAACATTTTAAACTTCAAATCGTAAGCACAAAATTAGTGAGTTTCCAAAAATACCACACACAACACAAAATATCCATATGCTACCATGGCAGATCTGTTTTAACCCAACCTGCCTCACCTAACAAAAATTGTAATCATACAAACAATCAACAAGACCCAACCAATCTAGCATACAGTGATCCTATTGTCCTATATAATATAGTGAAAAAACTCACATGAATCAAAGAGCTGAATCCATTTATTTCAAATCTAACGAATCAGGTACTCGAACCGCTTAACCAATCAAAGGCTAAATCTCAATCTACAACTCAAGATCTATAATTTGACTAAAAGTCAAACCGGTCAAAGTTAACGGTCGATCCGAGAGCATTGAACCATTGTACCGCTACCACAACGTGACAAAATAGTCATGTTTTGCCTAAATCTTGCGTCGCGAGTTCCAAAACCTGTTGCACCATGAAACTGGCTTAATAACCTACTTTTTAAGGACTTAATTTCTTAATTCAAAAAGTCCAATCCTTCGGATTCGAATCTCATAATGGTCCTAATGGATAAAGTTTACAACTTTATCCATCATCAAGGCTTAATCAAGCACAAGTCTAAACCCTATGTCCAAGAATTCCCAAAAATGCAAAACCAAGTACATAGCTTAAGGTTAGCACATGTATGACACTTTTTATCCAACAAGATGGTTCCAGAAGCATCAAAACATCACTAATGAGTTATGGAGCTCTTCAAACTCCAAGAACACCAAGTTTAAGGGACCAAAATGACAGCAAAATCACCACAAGCCTAGATCTAACATGCAATAGACAAAAAGATTGAATCTGGAAAACTTAGAGAGATATGTACGATGCTAAGAAGGTAAAAACTTCAGTGGCTTAATTCAATCAATCACCAAGAGCACACTTTTTCTTCAAAACTTCACACCAAAGAAGCAAATACAATTAGAAGGCATGAAGGAGGCTAGGGTTAGGAAAATAGAATGTTTTTTGGAGTGGAGCCTCGCAAATGACGAAACCCTAGGGAAATATGCTTTTAAAATAAGTCAAAATCCTAAGGCTTTTAGGTTTTGGACCAACAGACCCTTCGTGCCGTGAGTCTCTTTAAAGATCACACCATGACACTCAACTGCTCGTGTCGCCACCCAGAGAAAATCCCTAAAACTCATAAATTCCAAATTCTAACTTACAAGAATACCTGAAAATCGGATGTTACAATTCTCCCCTACTTTAATCAAATTTCATCCTCGAAATCCGCTGCTGTAAATAACTCAAGATAATGACCCCGAATCTCCTCCTCTACCACCTATGTCCACCCAGAACCCTTATGGTGCTGCTACTGCACCTTCACCAGACCAACCACCTTGTTACGTAAGGTCTTCGTCTTCCTATCCAAAATTACGATCAACCTCTCCATATAGTTCAAGCGTTCGTCCACATGAATATCATCTGATGGTACCACTGGTGTCGCATATGTAATGCAATTTCTCAGCTGAAAAATGTGAAAAGTATTGTGGATCCGACGAAGCTCCTCGGGCAGATCCAACTAGTAGGCGACCTTGCCCATACGAGCAAGTATCCTGAGTGGTCTAATAAACATAGGGCCTAACTTTCCCCTCTTCTTAAAACGGATGGTACCTTTCCATGGTGACACTTTCAGTAGAACCATATCTCCCACCTAAAACTCTAACTCGGAACAAAACCAATCTACAAAGATTTTCTATTGGCTTTGAGCTGTGTGAAGTCTCTCTCAAAT